CCCCCAAAAAATTCCAAAAATTCCCCCAAAATCCCAAAATTCCCCCAAAATTCCCAGAATGCCCCAAAATCCCCCCAAAATTCCTAAAAAAATCCCCAAAAAATCCCCAAAAATTCCCCCCAAAATCCCAAAAAAATCCCCAAAATTCCCAAAAATTTCCCAAAGAATTCCCCCAAAATTCCCCAAAAAATCCCCAAAATTCCTCCAAAAATCCCAAAAAAATCCCAAAAAATTCCCAAAAAAATTCCCCAAAAAATTCCCAAAAATCCCAAAAAATCCCAAAATTCCCCCAAAATTCCCAGAATGCCCCAAAATTCCCCCCAAAATCCCCCCAAAATTCCCCCAAAATTCCCCCCAAAAAATCCCCAAAAAATCCCCAAAATTCCCCAAAAATTCCCCCAAAAATCAAAAAAAAATCCCCAAAAAATTCCCAAAAATTCCCCAAAATCCCAAAATCTCCCCAAATTCCCAGAACGCCCCAAAATCCCCCCAAAATTCCCCAAAAAATCCCAAAAAATCCCAAAAAAATCCCTAAAATTCCCCCAAAAATCCCAAAAAAATCCCAAAAAAATCCCCAAAAATCCCCAAAATTCCCAAAAAATTCCCCCAAAAATAAAAAAAATCCCCAAAAATTCCCAAAAATTTCCCAAAAAATTCCCCCAAAAATCCCCAAAATTTCTCCAAAAATCCCCCAAAAAATCCCAAAAAATCCCAAAAAATTCCCAAAAAATTCCTCCAAAAATCCCCCAAAAATTCCAAAAATTCCCCAAAAATCCCAAAATTCCCCCAAAATTGCCAGAATGCCCCAAAATCCCCCCAAAATTCCCAAAAAAATCCCAAAAAATCCCAAAAAAATCCCTAAAATTCCCCCAAAAATCCCAAAAAAATCCCAAAAAAATCCCCAAAAATCCCCAAAATTCCCCAAAATTTCCCCAAAAAATCCCAAAAAATTCCCCAAAAATCCCAAAATCCCCCCAAAATTCCCAAAAAAATCCCAAAAAAATCACAAAAAATTCCCCAAAAATCCCCAAAATTCCCCAAAAATTCCCCCAAAAATCAAAAAAAAATCCCCCAAAAATTCCCAAAAATTTCCCAAAAAATCCCCCCAAAATTCCCCAAAAATTCCCCAAAAATTCCCCCAAAATTCCCAAAAATCCCCCAAAATCCCAAAATCCCCCCAAAATTCCCAGAAATCCCAAAATTCCCCAAAATTCCCCCAAATCCCCCCCAAATTCCCAAAAAACCCCGAAATTTGGGATTTACCTGCAGGGGGGGCGGCGGGTCCAGAGCTCCCGACAGCCCTGGGGGGAGGGGACGGAAAATTGGGTGAAATTTGGGGAATTTTGGGAAATTTTGGGGAATTTTGGGGAATTTGGGGAAATTTTGGGGAATTTTGGGGAATTTTGGGAAATTTTGGGGGGAATTTTGGGAATTTTTGGGAATTTTTGTGGAATTTTGGGGAATTTTTTTGGGATTTTTGGGAGATTTTGGGAAATTTGGGATTTTTTTGGGATTTTTGGGGGAATTTCGGGAATTTTTGGGGGGATTTTGGGAAATTTGGGGAATTTTTTTGGGATTTTTGGGCAGAATTTTGGGAATTTTTTGGGAATTTTTGGGGATTTTGGGAATTTTGGGGAATTTTTGGGGAATTTTTGGGAATTTTGGGAAATTTTGGGGAATTTTGGGGGGAATTTTGGGGGGAATTTGGGGGATTTTGGGTTAATTTTGGTTTAATTTCAGGACAGTTCGGATTTAGTCATTATTAATTATTATTAACTTTTATTAATCATTATTAATTAGTATTAATTAGCGCTAATTAGGATTAATTACTAACTCTGAGATAATTTTGGGGCGATTTGAGTTGATTTTTGGGTTAATTTTGGTTTGATTTCAGGACAGTTTAGATTTAATCATTATATTTCAGGACAGTTTAGATTTAATCATTATTAACTGTTATTAATTATTATTAATCATTATTAATCAGCATTAATTAGCGCTAATTAGGATTAATTACTAACTCTGAGGTAATTTTGGGGCGATTTGAGTTGATTTTGGGGTTAATTTTGGTTTAATTTCAGGACATTTTAGATTTAATCATTATTAATTATTATTAACTTTTATTAATCATTATTAATCAGCATTAATTAGCGTTAATTAGGGTTAATTACTAACTCTGAGGTAATTTTGGGGCGATTTGAGTTGATTTTTTGGGTTAACTTTGGTTTAATTTCAGGACATTTTAGATTTAATCATTATTAACTATTATTAATTTTTATTTAATTAGCGCTAATTAGGGTTAATTACTAACTCTGAGGTAATTTTGGGGCGATTTGAGGAGATTTTTGATGATTTTTGGGTTAATTTTGGTTTAATTTCAGGATAGTTTGGATTTAATCATTATTAATTATTATTAATTTTTATTAATTACCATTAATCACCATTAATTAGCATTAATTAGGGTTAATTACTAACTCTGAGGTAATTTTGGGGGGAATTTGGGGACATTTTTGGGTTAATTTTGGTTTAATTTCAGAATAGTTCGGATTCAATTATCATTAATTACTATTAACGATTATTAATTACTATTAATCATCATTAATTAGCGTTAATTAGCGTTAATTAGGGTTAATTTCTACTAACTCTGAGGTAATTTTGGGGCAATTTGGGGAGATTTTGGGGTTAATTTTGGTTTAATTTCAGGATAGTTCGGATTCAATTATTATTAATTATTATTTTTATTAAGAATTATCAATTAGCATTAATTAGTGCTAATTAGGGTTAATTACTAGTAACTTTGAGGTAATTTTGGGGCGATTTGAGGAGATTTTTGATGATTTTTGGGTTAACTTTGGTTTAATTTCAGGACAGTTTTGATTTAATTATCATTAATTATTATTAACGATTATTAATCATTATTAATCGCCATTAATTAGCGTTAATTAGGGTTAATTACCTTGCGGCCCAGCTCGGCCCAGCCCCAGGCCCGGATTTCTCCGTCGGCGCCGCTCAGGAGGAGCCGCTCGGTCGAGGCCAGCGAGTAAACGGGGCCCGAGTGCGCTGCGGGACCAGCACCCACCAGTACAAACCAGTATGGACCAGTTTAAACCAGTTCGGACCAGTTTAAACCAGTATAAACCAGTATGGACCAGTTCAGACCAGTTCGGACCAGTTTAAACCAGTTTAAACCAGTACGGACCAGCACCGACCAGTTCGGACCAGTTCGGACCAGTTTAAACCAGTATGGACCAGTATGGACCAGTTCAGACCAGTTTAAACCGGTATGGACCAGTATGGACCAGTACGGATCAGTATAAACCAGTATGGGCCAGTTTAAACCAGTTTAAACCAGTTTAAACCAGTTTAAACCAGTTTAAACCAGTACGGACCAGCACCGACCAGTTCGGACCAGTTTAAACCAGTTTAAACCAGTATGGACCAGTATAAACCGGTATGGACCAGTTCGGACCAGTTTAAACCAGTATGGACCAGTATGGACCAGTTCAGACCAGTTTAAACCGGTATGGACCAGTTCGGACCAGTTTAAACCAGTTTAAACCAGTATGGACCAGCACCGACCAGTACAAACCAGTTCCGACCAGTTTAAACCAGTTTAAACCAGTATGGACCAGTTTAAACCAGTATAAACCAGTATGGACCAGTTCGGACCAGTTCGGACCAGTATGGACCAGTTTAAACCAGTTTAAACCAGTATGGACCAGTTCGGACCAGTTTAAACCAGTTTAAACCAGTATGGACCAGCACCGACCAGTACAAACCAGTTCCGACCAGTTTAAACCAGTTTAAACCAGTATGGACCAGTTTAAACCAGTATAAACCAGTATGGACCAGTTCGGACCAGTTCGGACCAGTATGGACCAGTTTAAACCAGTTTAAACCAGTATGGACCAGTTCGGACCAGTTTAAACCAGTTTAAACCAGTACGGACCAGCACGGACCAGCACCGACCAGTTCGGACCAGTTTAAACCAGTTTAAACCAGTATGGACCAGTATAAACCGGTATGGACCAGTTCGGACCAGTTTAAACCGGTATGGACCAGTTTAAACCAGTTTAAACCGGTATGGACCAGTATGGACCAGCACCGACCAGTACAAACCAGTTCGGACCAGTTTAAACCAGTTTAAACCGGTATGGACCAGTTTGGACCAGTATAAACCAGTTTTAACCGGTTTAAACCAGTATGGACCAGTATGGACCAGCACCGACCGGTATGGACCAGTTCGGACCAGTTTAAACCAGTATGGACCAGTTTAAACCAGTATAAACCAGTTTAAACTGGTATAGACCAGTTTAAACCAGTTTAAACCAGTTTAAACCAGTATGGACCAGTATAAACCGGTATGGACCAGTTCGGACCAGTTTAAACCAGTATGGACCAGTATAAACCAGTATAAACCAGTATAAACCAGTATAAACCGGTATGGACCGGTATGGACCAGTTTAAACCAGTTTAAACCAGTATGGACCGGTATAGACCAGTATAGACCGGTATGGACCGGTATGGACCGGTTCGTACCAGTATAAACCAGTATAGACCAGTTTAAACCAGTATGGACCAGTTTAAACCAGTTTAAACCAGTTTAAACCAGTATGGACCAGTTTAAACCAGTTTAAACCGGTATGGACCAGTATGGACCGGTATGGACCAGTATGGAGCAGTTTAAACCAGTATAAACCAGTCACTCCCAGTCCCTCCGAGTCACTCCCAGTCCATCCCAGTCCATCCCAGTCCATCCCAGTCCATCCCAGTTTATCCCAGTATAAACCAGTTTATCCCAGTTTAATGTCCCAGTCCATCCCAGTCCCTCCCAGTATAAACCAGTATGTCCCAGTCCCTCCCAGTCCATCCCAGTCCCTCCCAGTCCATTCCAGTCCCATTTTTAACCCTTTAATCCCCATTTTTTGACCCAAAATCTCCATTTTTCACCCCAAAACCACCGGGTTTTTTACCCCCAGTCCCTCCCAGTTTATCCCAGTTTAATGTCCCAGTCCCTCCCAGTCCATCCCAGTTCCATCCCAGTTTAATGTCCCAGTCCATCCCAGTTTATCCCAGTCCCTCCCAGTCCCTCCCAGTCCATTCCAGTCCCATTTTTAACCCTTTAATCCCCATTTTCACCCCCAAAATCTCCATTTTTCACCCCAAAACCACCGGGTTTTTTCCCCCCAGTCCCTCCCAGTCCCTTCCAGTTCATCCCAGTTCACTCCCAGTTTATCCCAGTCCCTCCCAGTCCATCCCAGTTTATACCAGTCCATCCCAGTCCATCCCAGTGCCACTTTTAACCCTTAAATCCCCATTTTTTAACACAAAATCCCCATTTTTTGCCCCAAAATCTCCATTTTTCACCCCAAAACCGCCGGGTTTTTTCCCCCCAGTCCCTCCCAGTCCATCCCAGTCCCTCCCAGTTTATCCCAGTCCATCCCAGTGCCACTTTTAACCCTTAAATCCCCATTTTTTAACACAAAATCCCCATTTTTTGCCCCAAAATCTCCATTTTTCACCCCAAAACCGCCAGGATTTTTGCTCCCAGTTCCTCCCAGTCCCTCCCAGTCCCTCCC